TCAGTACAATCAACTTGTAAAAGTGCATGTACCATTATATGACCCCTTTAAAGAAAAAAATCATCTATGTGCTTTTGAAGGATTATCTGGCTATATCTTGAAGTTATATGTTTATGACAGCTGTAAAAATGTTTTGTCAGCAAACCTAAAAAATGTGCTTCATACGGTAACATTTAAAGTAACTGGTTTTATTTGAGCCAACAATATTATTTATTTGACTGAATCAACCTGAATACTTCAGGTTACAATGAAAGACATTTTTAAGGATTCGATCAAGTAAAAGTAACTAAAAACTGCACTAATCCACCGGGTGTGTGTGTGCAGTGTGTGCTAGATATAGATTTGTGACTGTATACAATATTCACACAAATCAAACTGCACAGTGCATGGGGGAGGTTTTACATTTTTATGGGGGAAGGGTGTGTGTGCAAGGGGGTTGTTTGAATGTACTTAATAGGTAATATGGTGGGGGATGGTAAGTTAACATTCAGGAGATGCCTGTTTCTGGGGTAAAGTTATGATTCCAAGTATCCAGCACCGGCACATGCTCTTTCAAATACACAAGAGACAAAACAATAGACAATCAGAGTAACCATTGCTCATACAATAAGGAACACACACACACACAACTACCTCTGAACGGACTGGGTTTTGCAATTATAAAAAAGAATCTGAATCTTTCTGTTCAACCACAGGTCAAACCCAAATTCTGGCTGGCACGCGTGTTTTGAAATTAATTCAGAGTGAATGAACGTGCACTTTATAAATGACCTGATTCACTGAATTCTGATGAACTTCAGCTGTGAGGAAGTTGGTTTAACACTGGTGATAATATTTGTAGCTATCAGATGTTTCACATTGTGAAATCCTATTGATTTTTGGTTCTGTGTACATCCGTTGAAATAACATATTGACTAAAATGGAACTTCCCCATAGGCTCAACCTCCAAACACCCTTCCCAAAAGAAAGCCTCATCCACAAAAAGTTTGGCAATGTATAGGGAGTAAAACTGAACAAATTTTTTGTTTAAAAAAATATAATTTCCTAGTCGTCCTCCTTTGTTCACCTCTTGTTCCACATTTGATAAATTAACACTGTGTCATCCAATTGAAATAAGTCTATTTACGAGCTCTCTCGTGATGTGATAGCTGAGTGCTAGTCTGCCAACACAATGCTTCAAATGCCAGCTGATACTCAAAGGTTAATGGAATAGAAACCTCATTGTACATTTATTCACCCGATGTGGGCACCATGTTGTTCTTTAACAAAATGTCAGCATAGCTTAAATGTTAATGATTTCTCAAATTTCGTCAGCACTGAAATTGCCTGCCACATTTATCAAGCTACCTGTTCACTGTACAACAGAACTTTATGCGATTCATACGCATGCCTTTATGTGTTGTTGTGAAAGTGTCAACTGTTAAACTCAACTTTTAGCTGTTGGATACATATGTTAGACTAATTGTAGCCCATCTTTTTAATAATAAAAGACTAAAGTTAGATTTTATGGCTGAGAATGTCATGAAGCCATAATGTTTTTTTGTTTTTTTTTATTTTTGGCTGCCAGTCACACATTGTTCAGAGATTAACAGCCTTTGAAAAAAATGCTGACACGACTTTGACCACAAAAAAGCGAGCTGTTGTGTGCACTAGCATTCAACGTTCAACGGCCTGTATCCAAACAGAACCAAAGCAGACTTTCTTTTACTGTGGCTTTTGATGCAGAAAGGCCACTGTAATAATACATTCTGCTTTGGTGCATTCATTGCCAAAAACATTATACCAACAGCAGCACTGTGTATCTCTATCATCATCAACCTCACCATCATCATCATAATCATCAATGAGAAATGATGAATATTACCAATTTCTCCAATGTAATTGACAAGAAATAGGACCACCTGCACCTCCTTCATTTCCATTTGTCTGAGGAAACATGGGCTACTCATTTTCTGCCGAAAACATTATGCTCTGTCATAGACGGCATTGTTTTTTGTGTTTCTCTCAAGCTTTGATAGTTCCCAAACAAATGAAAGTGAGAGAAAAAGATAGACAGATAGATAGATAGATAGATAGATACAGTAGATAGATAGATAGATAGATATAGGCAGACAGACAGACAGACAGACAGACAGACAGACAGAAAGACAGACAGATAGATAGATATAGGCAGACAGACAGACAGACAGACATATAGATATAGGCAGACAGACAGACAGACATATAGATATAGGCAGACAGACAGACATATAGATAGATACACTCAAAAAATGGTTTTGTGGCACTGTTCTTTTTACCCAAATATGTTGTGTTAAAGTAACACGCATATATTTCTTTTACCACCAAAACACTATTGTATTGCGTTTAATTAACTTAACCTGTATAATTTTCAACTATACTTAATTATCATTCGTTAAACTAATGTAAAGAGTTTAATTTCGTGATTCAAAAAACCCTGGATGTGATTATTTCCAACGTATTGGATGAAGATGCAGTGTGAAGAAAGTGGAAAGGTGCATGGCCTCAGAGAAAATATAAAGTTAATCTAAAGGCAAAGTCTTTCATTTGAGTATTTCGGAAAGTCTGTCCTGGAATACTTTAAATATATTGCAATGAAAAAAAAATATTTTGGCTGCTTGTTCAAATTGCTTCAAATGAGCTTAAGCAACACAATTGCTTCATGTTGTCCAAACTTAATTTGATTGAGTTCAATCTGCCTAAATATGTAAAATTAAAGTTTACTTAATCCGTTTGTGTTGGATTACATGAATGATTTGTGTTGCATTAACTTAAACTGGGCGGTGCTTGTTAGTTCCCAGCATGCTTTGCATATAGCTGAATTAAGAGAGAACAAATGTTGAAATTAAGTGTTATTTTATGTGTTTTTGAGAAAATGAGGAAAGGGGAAGACTTTATAGTGTGTAATTGTGTTTAATGTTCAATTACATTGCAATTATTAGAACCATTTAATATTACAGTGGGTTACCATTGTGGAGAAGAGTGGAGCATTTGGTTAGGATGTGGACTCATTAATAAAATACAACTCTTGTTGGTGAAAGAGCACATACATCTTAGCATTTAATATGTTAATAAGTGTTATTATATGCTAATAGCAAGCTACAGTATAGAATTTCAATTGAGAAATTATGTAAATCTTACATACTTTTATTTGTCAGTGAAGATTTAAATAAACTAAAGCATGTTCACTAAACTTAACCGGTTTAAGTTAGAGGGAAGCAATTCCATTGATTTGTTTGGACTCATTCAGTTGTGTTGTCACAACACAAGGAGCTTACATAGATTAAAAAAATCCCATTAATGTTAATAAAACGCAATTTGCTTGTGTGAAACCACTGTCCATAATTAAATTAAGTAAGTTTAAAGAGTAATTTTTTTGAGTGGTATTTCATTTCGCTATATATAGGCAGACAGACAGATATAGGCAGACAGACAGATAGATATAGGCAGACAGACAGACAGACAGACAGACAGATAGGCAGACAGATAGATAGATAGATAGATAGATAGATAGATAGATATGCAGACAGATAGACAGACAGATAGATAGATAGATAGATAGATAGATAGATAGATACCCCCCCCCCCTGAAATAGCCTTTTTTTTACGTTGTGCAATTTTGCAACATGACCCAGAGTACGACGTCTCAAAGAATGCATAATCTTGAATTATAAGAGCAAAAGTAGAATCTGGAATAGCTCAATCTTATTTATGCCTGTGCACAAAGCTGCTTAATAGACTATGTGCTGAGGTCTGAAGCAAGTATTGAAGCCTGTCAGCTTTCTATTTTAATTCTGTAAAAGCAGCTTTGGTTGTAGCTAATAAGTCATCTTCATTGATTAGCCTATATATTTCTTGAGATTTCCTGCCAATTGAGACTGTTTCTCCTAATTACAGTGGAGAAAGAGATTTCAGAAATTGATCTGTTTTCTGAAGGCAATCACTCTATCTTTATGCATAAATAAAATAATAATAATATATAAACAGCAGTCACATTTACAAAGTAATTTAATATTTTGCCTGGTTATTAAGGGAGAATCAAATATATCATAAAAAGCAATACACAACAACAACAAAAATAAAAACAAAAACTTTAGAAGTCCTTGGACAAAGCATGTGAAATACCATAAAAAGTTTATAATTTGTTATGACCAGTGTTAGGTTAGGTAACCTAACCCAGGTGACGCAGTGTTATGTAATGTCAAATTTAAATTAGTAAACTAATCTTTTAGAATATTTCACTTTTAAAAACATATTGTACCTATTTTATTTATGTTGTCTGACAGGCTTCCAGACCAGAGTTTGTGTGGGGAGCAGCGACTGGAGAGGGGAAAATGAAAAAAACCAGGAGTGGATGTTTATGGCATAGATGAAGGGATGGATATCTTAACATACACTTCCAGTTTCCTTTTATTTAGGATTGCCACTGCTATCAGTAAAACGTAGACCAGTGGTTTTCAGCCACCTAGTATCAACACATTAAAACAATGAATAGCTTAATTGGATGATTCCACAACTTTCAAGAACTGCTTGCTCTTCAATAAAAACAGCTTAAGAAAGATGATGCCAGTTTAGCTACATGATTTAGCCTACTTTTATTTTTAGCAGGTTTTAGAGTTTAATTTAATTGTGAATTTATGTTAAGATAGATTGTTTTATTGTAACGTACTTTAAATCATTTAAGTCATGGTGTTCCACTTTGGAAGTATAGTTGTTCACATGCCTAATACTACCCAGTGCTGGAGACTCTTGTTTACATTTCACGATAACATATTCTAATGCGGTGAAAGACACCCCTGTCAAAAATATGTTCGTTTTGAAGAGCGATACTGGCACATCTAAACGGAATCTTCCGTCAGCATATGTTCAGACAGACAGTATCATACGCAAAGTGATGCAAATCCTGAAGCAGGAGCGCAGTCCGCGCACATCGCAGCGCCCCCTGTGGTCGCTCAGCGGTACCGCCGCGTGGCTTGCGAGTCTTTTGTGTGTGAACATTGGCAAAGCGCTCGCTTCTCTCCATAGAGCAGTTACTCTGAGCCACAGCTGCACCAAGAAGATACACATCTCTACTCACAGCAGTCAACATATACTCACCAGATGCCCTTGTTCTTTTCAAACCTGAGCACTTTTTCCCCGCGGTATCTCTCTATTGTAAGACGACTGAGGTAAAGGTTCATATAAAAGTTTTTACGAAAAACCGCGGAACGGATGTGAGGCGCAATAGACAGCCTCTTTCAGTCTTCAGTTGGTACCTTCTTCTCTTGCGTTGCGATTTCTGAGTAAGCGAGGAACACATTTTCTAGTGGAAAGGCAATAGGGGCCGGTTGATGTTTTTACTGAAATGGACGTGAGATTTTATCCTCAACCTCCACCACCATCAGCAACAGATCCTTCCCGTCTGGGACAGTCTCACTATTCGGACTCTCCGTACTGCAATAAGGTAAAGCTTCGTTTCATGATGCATGCTCTTCATTTATGTGTTTTGTTTGAGTTTTGCCTGTCTGAACTTTAATGCCGACTGTCGAGGACTTGTTCAAAGTTTGTAGCTACTTCACCCGACTGTCACAGTGAGTCGGAGAAAGTAGGAGATTGAGCGCGCGAGACCAAAAATGTTTCCAAACCTGGTGACTTTGTTTATTGTTTTATTAATCTTATCCCCCTCCCCCCCCCCCCCCCCTGAAAATATAAATGTTCAAATATTTAACTGTTAAATGAGCACATTAGCATTTTCACGTGCCATTTACGTCGCGAATTTAAAAAGCGCCTCTACGGGTTGTCATAGAGACCGCTTATGGACTGTAAATAATATGCAAATAATTAGATCGCACGAAATAAGTTGGTAGCTAGAAGTAGCAATCGCTTACTCAAAAACACCTGCTCATCATCACAGCCCCAAACTCATGGGCATCAACAAACTGACACGCACTACCAACATAGTAACCATATGTATGTGTATGTTTGTTAATGCTGTTCACATCATATTTGTGTTTAATGCTTTGTACCTACGGAATTAATTTATCCTTAAAGTTCCCTGAGGAACAACAGAGATATGTGGGGTTTGTATTCTTCTATTTCTCCTAATGATGGTGCTGTTACTGTGTGTGTGCGTGTGTGCATGTGCGCAGGATAAAGAGAGATGGGGTAGAGAGAGAGAGGGAGAGAGAGAGAGAGAGAGAGAGAGAGAGTGTGTGCGTGTGTGTGTGTGTGTGAATGAGGAGGGGGTAGGGTTACTGTGGGGTGATAGAGTGGGGGTTGGGGTTGTATTATTCCTTTCAATGCTTCTTGATTCACTGCCATAGGTCTCATATCCATGTCTAAGTGCAGTCACATACACAGTGAAATGTTTTATGGATTAATCCCATTTTTAGTGACAGACCTTATTTGAAAAAATCCTTGAAAGCACAATTTCATTGCATTGTTTCAGTGATTCATTTGTTAGATGTAATTTTGATGTGAAGCAGTAAATTGTTAATATCTTTGCTGAGTTTATAAAACCAGGGTAGAGAGGTTGGCGGGGGTAGGGAGGAAAGGAAGAGGGAGGGAGGGAAGAAGGGGAAGGGCTTTCAGATATAATCTATATAGTGTAATTTCACTGCAGAGGCAAGTCAGCCTATATCAACTCCACTCGAGATTTTTCATCTTAGCAATTCAGAAAGAGAGGGAGGAGGGGAGCTGGAGTTAGAAGAGTAAGAAAGAGAGAGAGAGAGAGAGAGATGGGGTGGGGGCCGGGGGTTAGTGGTGGGGGGACACAGCAGAGCAAACAAGTGAGATTGTGACAGTGGTGTGTGGTATCTCCAGAACAAATAGACAGAAATTGATGGTATGTGGCTAAACGAGGGTCACGGTGCCAGTGGGACTGATGCAGTCTGTGCACATAGACCCCCTTCTGATTACCTTCCTCCCTACCTGCTCTGCTCAGATCCCAAAACACTCTTTCTGTTTGATGTGGACAGAAAGGTATAAAAACAAGCACTGTATCTTTATTCATACACTATGGATTTTAGTTCCGAGCCTTAGAGACATACGCTGGCTTAAAAGCGTTCAGTTGTTCTGCACTTTGCTGTGGATTTTCTGCAGTTCAGCAAAACGTGTAAATGCAGGAAAGCCTGTGTTTGTCTAGCGCACTGCTTTTTGTGCATTGAAAGGTACACGTTTCGAGCCTGAAGTTATTGCTGCGAGGATAAAGAAAAAAATGAAGCAACTTTGTACACACTATATCTGAACTTAATGCGCCACACTTCCTGTGCTATACAGTTTGGTTCTTATCGCCCCGTGCTTATCATGCTACCTGCTCGGGACACAAGACACAGTGTTGCTTTGCTAAGAGAGTGTTTCCAAAGCAAATAAATGCAAAGGCAATTAAATCTGAATTTGAAGACGATGTACAGAACTCGTTGAATCTGAATCTGCACCTCTGATGTGTGCTTTGCATGAGTGCTGCTGTTAAGGAAGTCGAGAGTGGTCTTGAAGGGTACTCTGGAGAGATTGGATTACAGTCTGTTTGGGATTATGAAAACTGGCAGAGATGCAGCCCCTGCCCTGACCATTAATGGCCAACAAAACTACCCCGCTGAATCCGACCTATATCAAAGCGAATGATTTATTTCATGCCTAATGACTTTCAGCTGGTGCTCAAGTCGCTGCATTAATGGAGTTTGCAGGCTCAAAGTTATTACAGCCAATGAGATAATGCAAGCAAGCTGTTAACACTACGCATGACTCATTGTCTTGTAAGTCTGTCGTTGATGTGGTTTTAAGGAATGGCGAGAGCCCCAAATTTCACAGGTTTTGCTTGTGTACGGTCTGTGCGCTGTCAGTTGGTGACAGCAGAAGTCTGATCTAACTAATTGAGCTGGGGCCAGTTGCATAAACTGCAAAGACTAGTCATCACATTTTTTTCTTTAAGAATGTTCATAACTATTTTAAGTCAGTTACATAAAAAGGTAGACTGGTCTAATTTGAAACCAAAATGTAAGACTGATTGCCCCATGACTAGCATAATGGCTATGTTTATGCAACTGGCAGCTGGAGTCATTTTGTACAGCCTAAGGTTTGAATGATGCTTACACTGTAAAAAAAATATATTTTTAGAAGTTGACAATAAAATAAAGATGATTAGAGTACATTTGACAAGAAAGTACTATTTCAGTCTTTCTACAAAATTTCACATTTAATTCAATGTGTTTCTTGCTGTTTCTTTTTTGTGAATTTTACATAGCGATTTCTGAGTGAACATTTTTTTTAAGTAAATCCTACATCAGTTTTATTTTCCAGTGAATGAATCAATTAGGCTGATACAAGAGGGTTTAATTGCCTGTGCATTTAAAGCAACAGCAAATAATAGAGAGTTGGTGAGCAAAACAGGCCTGTGTTTTTTTTATGGACGCACATTTTTTATACCTAGCAAACAGATGCTTTTTAAAATTATTATTATTTTGCATTTTGTCTCGAGACAGACACCTATAAACATTTCATAAAAACCTAGAAAATTAAATTCAAGATCTTTTGATTACAATTATGGAGTATATTCTCCTGAAGGTTCTGTATGTGTTTTTTGTGTGTTAGTACATTCCAAATGAGATTCCTGCTCTTAAGGAGATTACATTAAAAACGGATGAGAAATTAGATATCTCAAATATGTATTGCTGTCATGGGCCATGCTCTGTAATATAAAGTCTGCTGTGTGCCACAGTCTTAGCCACAGGCATTTTCAATTAAGTAGAAATTACTGAGATCTTTGGTGGTCCTGGATGTCAGAGGGTCCTAGGATGTCGACCCTGACATAATACGTTGTCTTTTGTGTTTGTTAGTCAAGAGCCACTCTAAAACTGACCAACCCCCCCCACAGTACTTCTACTCCAGCTGCAATGATCATTACACGCATGTGCATTTTTAACAAAAGGAGCTAACGGACTTATCATCTGAGTCCTGAAAGTGGAAGCTGATTTGACTAGGAGAGAAGAAGAGAGGAGCTATAGCTCTGGTAATCTCTGTTTACCAGGTCACTGCTTCTTAGAAAGAGTGATGTGATGACAGGGTGAGACTGAGCGGGCATTTCATTCATGCCCCCCCTGCCTCGGCCTTTAGAGCACTGATCAAACCACACTCCTAAATGTGAGAGGAAATCAATGCATGCCGCAGTCTGTTTGTATTTGATGCTGTATCATTCACATGATGTCATATGGTAAGTGGTTTGCTGTACAAAAATCCAAAATCTTTATTGTTCTTGGCTCAAACTGAAGCATGTAAATATAAATCATGTGGGACTTTCCATGAATATGGTACACTTTGGTGTTCCACTTTGGTTTTTGTCACGAGATCTATTAGATATGTTTGGCAAACTAACATGTCAATTTAACATAGCATGAAAAATGTAGCTTTACACACATCAAATTCTTTATTCCCCCATTAGAGGTCTTGAAGGAATTTATCTTTATTTATTTATGTTTCTTCTTTTAAATTTTAATTGCTTTTATCACTAAATCTCACAAATCTGAGTTTAAACTCCAAATTTTGTTTACATGGTTGCAAACATCACAAACCTCGTTTGAAATGCACAGTAAATAAAGAAAGTTCTTATAATATTTGATTTATTGATCAACATTTAAGCAAGTTAAGCACATCCTTTAACTAATCATTTGTTAAAAAAAGAGTTTTAGACTGAGGGTTTTAGAATATTAAAGCCAAAAATTAGGGATGCACGATATATCGGACGCCATATCAGTATCGGCCGATATGTGTTCATTTTTAATGTTATCGTTATCGGCCTGTTAAGAAAATTTGGCCAATATATTAAAGCGGATAAATAATGTATTATTTCCTTCAGCTGAAACACTTCAAGATGTGCACTGTTCACTTTGATGGTTTGGAATTGCTTGAAATATGATTGGAATCACTTCAAAAAGGAAAATACAGTTAAGTGCACATGTGCAGCGCAAGTCTGTCATATAGGCTTCATAAAATTATAATGAGAACATCGTTATAATTGTGTTTCGGTCATGGCTTTTAATGGTGAGACTTTTGTTTTTGTAATCAGGCTCTCAAAAATTATATAAAAATTTGGATTTAGATTTATCGGCCAATACATAAGTTATTGGCATTCAAATAAAAATAATTATCGGTAATCGGTATCGACCAAAATTCTCATATTGGTGCATCCCTACCAAAAATTGTATGGTCAGAGTTTTGCTGAATGAGTTATGTTGATGTCAATATGCACAACAAGGTGTCAGTGTTTAGGACTTTAACACCTCCATGTTTGAAACGTTTGGAAAGCATTGTACAGTAACTCCAAAAAATGGCTTGCTCTCCCCCTTTAAACAGAGATGTCCTTCCACTGACGGATATCTGGGAGTTTTTCCTATGTCAACAGCATATGTCAACATTACACTGGCCGGCCACACATGGGTGGATTGTCATAAATGTGAGATGTTTACATAG